CAGACTATGAGATGGTTTCAGGTACCAACATATGGAAATTCCACATAACTAGTTTTGTTTGTTTTATGTATGTCTTTGTCTTTTACTGTTTTTAACAGTTTACTTTGTGTGGATATTTTTAATTTTTTATTTGGAGTCGCATGTTCATACTCGCATCCTTCTTAACCTTTATATTCTTTTTATGAAAACCGCTTATTATATTTATATTATCAAATTGTTAATGAAATTATTTATCAATATTTACTGTTAAATTTATCATAGAAATTATTTTTTATTCATTGTGATTTGTTCTTTTAGGTAAATTAATGAAAAAGAACTTGAAAAAAACAGTTGATTGCTTCATTGAGGATATTTCCTGGACAACAGGTAAATCCATGGTACAAATCACTGAATTGATTCAGCACTCAGACACATTTCACCCTAATTTGTTATTTATTCCAAGAATTCTTAATTATGTTATCCTTGTTGGTGCTCCTTTTTGCATGATGTTGTTTTTCCATCGGCAGCAGTGTCATATCGGCCTTTATCCTAAAAGTTTTTTTTTTAGATAGATTTGATAATTTTGTAAGTTCTCAATTATATACTGAATTGACATCAGATTTGATACAAATCCTCATTTCTCATTGAACAAATTTAATATAGCTTTACAATAAAGTGTACATGTTACGTTAAAAGTGTTATAAATTGTAAGATATAGTTCTGGAATTCTTACTTATAAAATTCTGATTTTCTGCAGATGAAATGAAAACACCATTTCTCGATGTGACACCAACCCAGACTATTTGCACATCCTCGACAGATATTACACTACCCCGAAACATTGACACACCAACCAAGGATGTGGCACCAACCCAGAACATGTGTGCACCAACCAAGGATGTGGCACTAACCCAGAACATTGACACACCTACCAAGGATGTGACACCAACTCAGAACATTGGCACACCAACCAAGGATGTGGCACCACTTGATAACATTGACCCACCATTCAAGAATGTGGCACGAAACCAGAACATGTGTGTATCAACCAAGGATGTGGCACTAACCCAGAACATTGACACACCTACCAAGGATGTGACACCAACTCAGAACATTGGCACACCAACCAAGGATGTGGCACCACTTGATAACATTGACACACCATCCAAGAATGTGGCACAAAACCAGAACATTGACACACCATCCAAGAATGTGGCACAAAACCAGAACATTGACACACAAACCAAGGATGTGACACCACCCCAGAACATTGACACACCAACCAAGGATGTGACACCACCCGAGAACATTGACACACCAACCCAGAACATTGACACACCAACCAAGGATGTGGCACCACCCGGGAACATTGACACACCAACCAAGGATGTGACACCACCCCAGAACATTGACACACCAACCAAGGATGTGACACCACCTGAGAACATTGACACACCTACCGAGGATGTGACATCACCCCCAGAACATTGACACACCAACCAAGGATGTGACACCACCCGAGAACATTGACACACCAACCCAGAACATTGACACACCAACCAAGGATGTGGCACCACCCGGGAACATTGACACACCAACCAAGGATGTGACACCACCCCAGAACATTGACATACCAACCAAGGATGTGACACCACCTGAGAACATTGACACACCTACCGAGGATGTGACATCACCCCAGAACATTGACACACCAACCAAGGATGTGACACCACCCCAGAACATTGACACACCTACCGAGGATGTGGCACCACCACAGGACATTGACACACCAACCAAGGATGTGGCACCACCACAGGACATGGACACACCAACCAAGGATGTGGCACCATCCCAGAACATTGACACACCTACCAAGGATGTGACACCAACCCAGAACATTGACACACCTACCAAGGATGTTGCACTAACCAAGGATGTGACACCAACCCAGAACATTGGCACAACTTCCACAGATATTTCACCTGCCAAAGATCTACTCCATGACATCATCATGGACAAGTTACCTGAACTTGAGGATGACATCATCGTGGACAAGTTACCTGAACTTGAGGATGACATCATCATGGACAAGTTACCTGAACTTCAGGATGACATCATCATGGACAAGTTACCTGAACATGAGGATGACATCATCATGGACAAGTTACCTGAACTTGAAGATGCCATCGAAAGTACTAGTGGTTCAGAATACCAACCTAGCCAATCGGAATCCTCCGATGGCTCTGATGAAGAGCCAGAAAAGAAAAGTTCCAAGATTGTTGAAGTTTTATACCCAAGCTGCTCAGAGTCTGATGATGGTAGTGAAATATATCCAATGCTAGCATCATCATTTAAGGAAATAAAGACTGTTGTAGGATCTAGCAAGGAGGTATCCAGTAAGGAGGTATCCAGCAAGGAGGTATCCAGTAATGAGGTATCCAGTAAGGAAGTATCCAGTCAGGATAGTTCCAGTGATGAAAGTTTAGATGAGGATTGTATAGTTCGGGAAAAGAGTCATCCAGGCATTTATATTTCAAAACTTCTGAAAGCTGATACAACCAAAACTGGATTAAAAAAGAAGATAAACAGAGTTTACAACAGTTACCAGTACTTTGGTTTGTGTGAGGAGAAAGTCTCCAATTTTGCCCAACATATAGAAAGGAACAAAACAAAGATTGAACACGCCAACTCAGCTGAAGTTAAGGAAATACACAATGAAACTGATAAAAAACAGAAAGATAAGTTACGAACTTTACTTAGAGGAAAATTTAACAATCAGTACAATATGAAAACTTTGCAAAAAGGTAGAGGTGAAATCTTCCTGGAACGTCGTCCTTCGTCATCCTTCAGTTTGCATGATTACGGTCCTTGCCCAGGCTGCCTTTTTTGGATGTCCAAACAGTTGATTAGAAAACACCAGAAATCTTGTGTGGCCAAAGCAGAATCTCACAATATACGTCCATCATCTGCGCATTTACTAACTCAATCAGACACAATTTCTGGGAGGATACAACACATTGCAAGCTCTAATCTCGTAAAAGAAGTCTTTCAGATCATGCACATGGACGCAATAGGAAAGGTTGTACGTGAAGATAGTTTGATTATACAGCTTGGTAATCAGTGGATGGAGAAGAATGTCGGCAATAGACTTAAGAGAGGAAGCTACACTTCTCAGATTCTGAGGTTAGTTGGAAGATTACTGATTAACTTAAGAAACATTAAGCCATTGCCAGCTGGAGAGGAACAGAGCCTTTGGAATTATCTGAAGCCATCGCATTTTGATGCAATAGTAGAAGCAACCTTAATGACCGCTGCACCAGATATGGATGACGAGGAAGATTTGAAGAAACCGAGCAATGCAGTCAAACTTGGTTTTGACATCAAGCGTCTTCTTAATGGTAAAATAGGACTGTCGATTATTAGGGAGGATAAAGCAAGCCGAGCTCATGCCGAGGATCTTCTCAAGACCATGGAAGTGTACTGGGGGACCAGAGTAACAAAGTTGTCTCGTGTCTTATTGGAACAAAGGCACTATAATAAGGACCAACAACTCCCAGAACCTTCAGACATTGAAAAGCTTAACAGAAGTTTAAGTGACTCCATCAAAAGCTTGGACTTGACAGTGCAAGACTTCCAAAATTTCATTCATGTTGCTGAAGTGATTTCAGCTAAGTTGGTTATGTACAACCGAAGGAGAACTGGAGAGTTGCAGGCTATAAGGTAAATACTGAAGATCTTGTGATACTTGATCTTTTGACAGTTTGACTTTTGTTGTGGAAAAGTTTATTGGTGGAAAGCAACATTTTTTTTTATAACCGGTATATGTGTATAATGAGTTTTTGTACTGTGGTCATAATGGTATCTTATGTGTATAACAAATGTTTTGACTTACATTATTGCACTAACTAGTTACACAGCACTATTTTCAAAATATCTTTAAAAAGTTGAATGTTTATGTCCAGTGCTATTGGGCAAAATAGACTGCAGCTGGATATCAGGAAATATTGATTTGGAGTGTAAACAAATTTCAGTACATGACATACTTTGTTATCTACCTTTTTTCGTTCTGGTAGTTTTTCTTTACAGTCATTTATGATGATTAAAGACTTTTGTAAATCTCTGTTTTCAGATTGACTGACTACAAACAAAGGAAGAAAGGACAGTGTGCTGAACATCTCCTTGGACAATGCAGTGCGTTTGAAAAGAAACTTTTGGAAAGCCAGGAAGTAATGACAGTGAGAGGAAAGGTAAACTTTGATATAACTTCCAAATATATGTATATTATCTCTTTAGTTATATGCAGCCTAGTGAATTTATTTTGGCAAATTTAAATATTAACCAAAAAAAAAGTAATGATAAAAAAAAGTTGAAATTTAAGCAAATTAACAGTACCCTCTGTTGTCACTTGCAGTTAGACAGTTTGGTATGTCTTAAGCTTTTAACTTATAATAATATTATATGTTATTTATATCCAATGTATATTTGCGATAGAGATTATGTCTGTCTAATTCGTTTTTGATTATCTCAGACTGGAAGAGGTGTGCCAGTAATACTGCCACAGGAAACAAATGAAGCATTAGCATATTTGGTAAATCCAGATGTCAGAAAAGCAGCATCCATCAGTCCATCAAATGGATACATCTTTGCTGCTAAAGGTATGTTTTAGACATAATTTTTCCTCAACATTATCACATACAATACTAAAGTGCTTAAACTGCACTAGGTTTTTAGGCATACAGGTTCTAGTTAGGGTCACATGGTATTTCATTGGTGTCATATATATAAGTTTCTTGTTGAATAATTATGGAAAGACATGCTAAGTATGTGAAAAATATAGTAGATTTTAGTTGTCTTGAGTATTTTAAAGGATGTTCATCGTGACCTGCCATTTTATGTTTTTTGGCTAATACAGTGAATTCCTCTTTAAATCATGTTTGCTTGCATTTTTTTCCCACTAATGCATCTGCTTTTGCATGTCTCTATAAACATGGTGAATTTTCCTAATACAATGATCATAATTTATGGAAGGTATACAAGACTTGAATTTATAAGTTAGCTAATAATGCTGCATCATGTATATCAACCTTTATGGCTTGATGAGTACATTACTTCTTTTAAAACAAACATTACTTTATAGGGCAAGGTGTAGTACGGTCATATGATGCTTTGGCAAAAGCATGCAGACAAGCAGACCTAGTGGCACCAGAACGCATTACCAGCACAGGTCTCCGAAAATATATGGCTACTGTAACACAGGTAATTTATGAAGAATATTACTTTTTTGACATTTATTAGCATTGTTATAAGGCGACCTCGATTGTAGCTGGTTTAGTCAGTGCTCTTTAAAGATTTTATATGGAAAAGATTTTATATAAGCCTCTGGCTTGTTATTCAATCCATGTATGTTTATCTTGTATGTTATGTATATATGTAAAAGATTAGAAAAATAAAGATTGTTTAAACCAATTGTGCATAATATTGCGAATTAACTTTAAGTCTCACCATAAATATTTAAATATCACTGTTCATTATATATTTTATTTAGCCTTACTAATATCAAATGTTTCTTATTGTAAATAGGTTCTTGACCTAAAGGAACATGAACTGCAGTGGGTGCTTAATCACTTGGGACATACTCTAGATGTCCATAAGATACATTACAGGTATGCTCACACAAACTCTCTTAATCATTTAAAGTAATGTGGTGATGACTATTCCAGTTAAAACATACCTGACCTGAGTATTCTGAAATAAACCACCTTAAAAATATAACGATGTTTGATTTCCCTATGAAAGACTTTAATGCTAAGTATTGATAAGATTCTATAATGTAACCTTAAGAAAACTAGACATGCCTTGGGATAGATGTTTCATTGGAGTATCCCTCATGTCAAATTAAAATTTTAACAGTTTTGATACCTGAAATATTAATGATATATGGAATACCATATATGATTAACCTTTGTGATATGATGAATTTAAAAGTTTTTTTTACAATGTTTCATCGTTGATTATAACAATGAACAGAATACTTTTATGATCAAAATCTGTTCACAGTTGTAATTTGTTTCATTTAGATGTACGAGTGATATTTTGGAGAGGACTCAAATAGCCAAAATACTGTTACTTCAGGACCATGACCGACTTGGAGAGTTCCGTAATAAAACCTTACAGGACATTGATATGCATGGTATGAATATATTAAATGATTCAGTACTTAATCTCAAGTGACGCAAAAATAATTTCAGTACTGTTTGATCAGAAATTAGTTTTTTTTATTTCCTCCTTTGCCTTATCAAATTTGTGTTTTTTACCAGACCATGGCAAATGGTCAGATATTGGTGGTAAACACTGATGTCATGTTATTCTTTTGAACGTAGGTCATGCAATGTAGCAGAGTTGGGTGTATTATATGCATTTGCGTTAGTCATAGCTGCCAACAACCAGTATCACAACGCATATATTTGGCCCTTTTTTTTAGCCATAGCTAATTAATTTAAGTTTTCAATTCGCAGTGGCTGCGAATCATGAATATGCCAATGACATTTTTATATTCATAAATAATGGTGTTATTTAGGTGTTGTATGTTAAAACTACAAAACTGCTAATCAATTTTTGGATTTTCTAATTAATTTAAGCAAAATTGCATTTTTGATTAGCAAGTGCTGCTAATTAACCGGCAGCCCTGGAGTTAGTTCAATGTCTTTTTTTTTGTTGGATGTAAATGAATACTTCCAAACTGATCTAAGTTTAAACATGATTTATAAGTGGACTAGAAACATAATAATTTCTTACTACATTAAATGCTACTAATGCATTTAAAAAAGACATGAAATTTGCTTTTGAATACATGTGAAATTTAATTTGCTGACATATTGTTTCAGATATTGTCACAGAGAAAATTACTGAAGAGACTGAACAGAAGGGAGACCCCACATCAAATATTGTATTAAATAAAGTTGTAACTGATAACGAATGGGGCGATCCTGCTGGATTGCAGGTAATTCTGAATGAAGCCGAAAACTTCAATGATTTCAGTGATGATGATGATTATGATGATGATGAATGTCGTCGCAGTGTTCAAAAGAAGAAAAGAAAACCTACATCCACCTCAAAAACTAAATGGACTGAAGACGAGGAAGAAGAAATAAAAACTTTGTTTAAAAAGTTTTTTGAGGCCAAAAAGCGTCCAAAGCCAAAAGACTGTCTGAGAGCTCTAGAGCAAAGCCGCAAAAGAAACGGATTCATTTCACAGAGGAAAAAAGATGTACTAAAGAAAAAGGTATTTCGGATGATCGACAAATTATCCCAATAAATGTGAAACTGGACAAATAACTGGAAAACTGTCATTGCAAGTGGAGGAATATTGTGTTCTGTGTGTTCGAATGATTTGTTTTAATGTCACCTTGCGACTGAGTGACTTTGAAGTTTGGATTTTCTTTTGGATCATCGAAATATTTGTTTTAATGTCACCTTGCGACTGAATGACTTTGAAGTTTGGATTTTTTTTTAGATCATCATGAAAATATTTGTGTTAAAAGTTTGGATTTTCTTTTGGATCATCATGAAAATATTTGTGTTAAAAGTTTAGATGTTCTTTTGGATCATCATGACTGCTTAGAGCTATTATATTTAAAATATAATTCCCTCAAAGGAACCTTTTGTCAAATAGTACTACCAATCAAAAGTGATTTCATTTAAGAAACTTGCACATTTGAATGGAATTAAATAACTCTATGCAAGTGCATTTGTGACTACCTATGGAAGTTTGTTTTCCAACCTATGAAAGTTATTTATCTTTGCCTTCCAAGGGTGAAGATAGTTTGATAATGGTAATATAACCCACATATACAAAAGTGATTCGCTCCATCCAAGTTAATGTGACCACTCATAAAAGTTGCATTTTATTCTTTTGTTTTTTACTGTGCCATTATTAATAATTTAAAATAAAACAAGAATACATGTCATTAGTCTTTGTATTATAATTTCAATTAGAAAACATCCCTTCAGTGATTTCTTGGCATTTTATCATGATATTAATTTTTCATCTGAAATATTTTACAGTTGCAATGCTTTTAAATGTGTTAGTGCTATTTACACATATTATGGTAAAGGCTACACAGACAAAATATATCCAGATGCTTCAAACTTGCTGTTAATTTTATTTAAACCTCGTGTTTATTTTTTTCGTATTTTATTTAATAGGGTATGTACTGATAGTATCATCATGGAATGTGTAAGGATATTTGTAGTCTAACTGGGTTACATAGTGTCCATTATCTACTGGGCTTATTTGTTCGTAATGTGTGGGGATATTTGTGGTCTATCTGTGGTTTACATAGTGTCCATTATCTACTGGGCTTATTTGTTCGTGATGTGTGGGGATATTTGTGGTCTATCTGTGGTTTACATAGTGTCCATTATCTACTGGGCTTATTTGTCTGTGATGTGTGGGGATATTTGTGGTCTAACTGGGTTACATAGTGTCCATTATCTACTGGGTTTATTTGTCCGTGATGTGTGGGGATATTTTTGGTCTAACTATAGGTTGCATAGTGTTCATTATCAACTGGGCTTATTTGTCCGTGATGTGTGGGGATATTGTAGTCTAACTGTGGGTTACATAGTGTTCATTATCTACTGGGTTTATTTGTCCGTGATGTGTGGGGATATTTGTGGTCTAACTGGGTTACATAGTGTCCATTATCTACTGTGCTTCTCTATATGTGACATAGGGGGATATTTGAACATGAACTCTGGGTTGCATAGTGTCCATTATCTACTGGGCTTATTTGTCTGTGATGTTTGGGGATATTTGTGGTCAAACTGGGTTACATAGTGTCCATTATCTACTGGGCTTATTTGTCCGTGATGTTTGGGGATATTTGTGGTCAAACTGGGTTACATAGTGTCCATTATCTACTGGGCTTATTTGTCCGTGATGTTTGGGGATATTTGTGGTCTAACTGGGTTACATAGTGTCCATTATCTACTGGGCTTATTTGTCCGTGATGTGTGGGGATATTTGTGGTCTAACTGTGGGTTGCATAGTGTCCATTATCTACTGGGTTTATTTGTCCGTGATGTGTGGGGATATTTGTGGTCTAACTGGGTTACATAGTGTCCATTATCTACTGGGTTTATTTGTCCGTGATGTGTGGGGATATTTGTGGTCTAACTGTGGGTTACATAGTGTCCATTATCTACTGGGTTTATTTGTCTGTGATGTGTGGGGATATTTGAACATGAACTCTGGGTTACATAGTTTCCATTATCTACTGGGTTTATTTGTCTGTGATGTGTGGGGATATTTGTGGTCAAACTGGGTTACATAGTGTCCATTATCTACTGGGCTTATTTGTCCGTGATGTGTGGGGATATTTGTGGTCTAACTGTGGGTTGCATAGTGTCCATTATCTACTGGGTTTATTTGTCTGTGATGTTTGGGGATATTTGTGCTCTGTAGGTTGTATGGTGTCTAACTAATGGGCTTATTTGTCTGTGATAATTAGAGATATTTATGCTCAAACTGTGGGTTGCATTGTGTCCATTATCTACTGGGCTTATTTGTCCGTGATGTGTGGGGATATTTGTGATCTAACTGTGGGTTGCATAGTGTCCATTATCTACTGAGCTTATTTGTCTGTGATGTGTGGGGATATTTGTGGTCTAACTGGGTTACATAGTGTCCATTATCTACTGGGTTGATTTTTCCGTGATGTGTGGGGATATTTGTAGTCTAACTGGGTTACATAGTGTCCATTATCTACTGGGCTTATTTGTCCGTGATGTGTGGGGATATTTGTGGTCAAACTGTGGGTTGCATAGTGTCCATTATCTACTGGGTTACATAGTTTCCATTATCTACTGGGTTTATTTGTCTGTGATGTGTGGGGATATTTGTGGTCAAACTGGGTTACATAGTGTCCATTATCTACTGGGCTTATTTGTCCGTGATGTGTGGGGATATTTGTGGTCTAACTGTGGGTTGCATAGTGTCCATTATCTACTGGGTTTATTTGTCTGTGATGTTTGGGGATATTTGTGCTCTGTAGGTTGTATGGTGTCTAACTAATGGGCTTATTTGTCTGTGATAATTAGAGATATTTATGCTCAAACTGTGGGTTGCATTGTGTCCATTATCTACTGGGCTTATTTGTCCGTGATGTGTGGGGATATTTGTGATCTAACTGTGGGTTGCATAGTGTCCATTATCTACTGGGCTTATTTGTCTGTGATGTGTGGGGATATTTGTGGTCTAACTGTGGGTTGCATATTTTCAACTGTGGGTTGCATAGTTTCCATTATCTACTGGGTTTATTTGTCTGTGATGTGTGGGGATATTTGTGGTCTAACTGGGTTAATAGTGTCCATTATCTACTGGGCTTATTTGCCTGTGATGTGTGGAGATATTTGTGGTCTAACTGTGGGTTGTATAGTGTCCATTATCTACTAGGCTTATTTGTCTGTGATGTGTGGGGATATTTGTGGTCTAACTGTGGGTTGCATTGTTTCAACTGTGGGTTGCATAGTTTTCATTATCTACTGGGCTTATTTGTCCGTGATGTGTGGGGATATTTGTGGTCTAACTGTGTGTTGCATAGTGTCCATTATCTACTGGGCTTATTTGTCCGTGATGTTTGGGGATATTTGTGGTCTAACTGTGGGTTGCATAGTGTCCATTATCTACTGGATTTATTTGTCTGTGATGTGTGGGGATATTTGTGATCTAACTGTGGGTTGCATAGTTTCAACTGTGGGTTGCATAGTGTCCATTATCTACTGGGTTTATTTGTCTATGATGTGTGGGGATATTTGTGATCTAACTGTGGGTTGCATAGTGTCCATTATCTACTGGGTTTATTTGTCTGTGATGTGTGGGGATATTTGTGGTCTAACTGGGTTGAATAGTGTCCATCAACCTATTGGCTAATCTGCCCACAACATGCAAATTGCTGTATGAAGTTTCTATGGATACTAGAAATTGTCCTGCCAACCTGCAATAAGGAACAGGTATTCTTCCCAACTTGGCCTTGAGCTCTTTATCAAAGCAGCGTTATGCACTGCAAAATTTGTAAGCAATACATTTAGCTGAGTATCACTTTTTAAATCAAATGCTTAATACTTGTTCAATGCAGATTGAAAGCAATTGATAAGATATAAAAATGTGAAAAAAAATTGTAACATAACCATTACAAATTTCTTTAAAATTGGGGTGCAACTCAAAAATTCTTTTAGTATTAAAAACCTCACAAAAATGGACACATAATGTGCACAGCATAAGTACATATTATACGTTCATAACCCCACAAGTCAAAAACAACACAAGTACCTGTGCGTCAGTACGTCCGTCCGGACGGACAGGGGCGACGGCATAATACGTCCACATGAAAATGTGGGCGTATAAAAATTGTGACCTCTGTAGGGTCCACAACCTTGATATACCATATTTTTACGCTATTTGAGAACGAACGGCGGCCATTTTGTCTGTCAATTTTGGGCCGATTTTCACGATATTCGAACTCAGCCATCCTTAGGGTGTAACGGTTATATAATAATACGTTTTTTTTTTAAATCGGATAAAAATTATGACCTCTATAGGGTCCACAAGCTAAAAATGCGATTTTTCGTACAATCAGGGGCCATAATTCAGGAAGTTACGGTCCGATAAGACTAGTAATTATTTCCCCTTATTTCATGATGGACGAATGTAGTGCGAGTTATAAATAGACAATTTTTCCCTAATTTTTTTCTCCCCTCTTCCTGCATTTTTGGGTTGACTTTTTGGTCTAGAATTGGAGAAAAGGGATCAAATTTGCAATTTCATAGCAGTTTTGGGTAATACTGATGATATTACAGCGGAGGGATAGGGGGTGTAAAGTGTCTTTCTGCAGAGCAATCATTGTGTCGGAAGTGAGATTTTCACCGATGTCAACTTCAAATCCGTGTAGCAAAAAATCTAAATGGTCAACCCCCTACAAAATTATGATGAGGAGATTGCCAAATGTTGTCCCCATTGTGCCTATAAAGATTGGAACCAACGGAATGTTGAGAAAAAAGCTACAGCCTGTTATGTTACAGTCATTTAACATTGAAGTCAATGAGCAAATAATTGCTAGTCTGAGTCCTGATGATATAAAGAAGCATGGCCGACTCGGAATGTTTATATTTTTTCAACGGCTTATTTCCTGAAGTTTTGAATGGAAAGTGTCAGAAATGGTAAGAATACTGCTTTTTTATTGCCCAGCAGTAAGTTTTTTGACTATCTGGTATCAAAATAGCCATGATTGGGGGTATCCGTTGGTTGAGTGTGAATTTTGGGTTGTAAATGTGTAACATTTTGTTCACAATGATATCAAAACATGGTTAGGTCTAAATATTAAGGCCAACTCAACTGCAGATTTGGTCTAAAGTCACGAGATGTAAACAAGACTGACCCTACCCCAAGACCCAGTCCTTACCCTAACCCTAACCCACAATCTTGTCAAAAAGCATGTAGCCTAAGCCAAGACC